TACAGATGTACGTATTTTAGTGCATATGAGTGGAAGGCACTGAGTGGCTAGAGGTGCGCACTACCACTCCGTAGGACCTGTTTTCGATTGCTGGTTCGGGCAACATCTAAATTAGAAAAAGCCAAATACTCATCAAAGGTGTAAGCGCCAAGTTTTTATTATTATTATATGAGTAGGCAGTTATCTATCAGTGGATTCCCTCCTTCACCCCAACTTCGTTCTTATTATCCACAAACGTTTGATATTCGGAAAATGAATTTAAATCTGCTGTAGATAAGTCAAATCAAACCAAGTAAAACTGTTGTTAAACGGTATCTAATAAAGAACTAACAGTTCAAGAAAACAAAACGCAGTTGGAATGAATTCCGTGGCACTCGCCATAATACTTGTACAAAGAAAAAAGACAATAGTCACAGTTGCAACGAACACAGTCCGTTATGCATTGATCTCAATTTCAACGCCGATGCATAGATGTGTTCATATATACAAACACATACATATATATGTGCATAGCTCACCACTATTGCGAGGTGAAAAGCCACAACTAACTAATCCCGTCTAATAGCTTACACCCAATCCAATATTCTGGTTTTCCTTCGCTACGCTGTTAAAATGCAATAGATTTCTTTCTTTTGATAGCGACAATGATCAGCATTGAATGAAATACAGCTTCGCAGAACGACTGGTATTTTACAACAATTCACTCTGACCAACAATAACAAGGCGAATGGTGAGGCCAGGCGAGCTCCAGTGCCATATCTTGGCTAGTTTGAACCAATTCCAAACGAATCCGGTTTCTCATGTTTACCGTTTTCGTAAGTTCAGGCAACAGGTTCTACTCCCATTCGAGAGATGGTAATTTCAATTGGCCACTCATTGCATTATGGGACAGAAACAATATTAGTGGTATACTCAGAAGAACACGGGGAAAGGACAAGTTTGTGGATTAAACACATAGTAATACCGTTTTTTCACGCAATCGAAGCAGGATGTTCAGACGTTTAATAAATTATTACAGCACACTCTCGACATTACAGACATCTTAAATCATACATTCTTAAACTAATAATCAATTTTGCTATTTTATTCCACTTCTGTAGGTGGTTTCAACGCTATCAAGAAAGAATATTCTGAAATATGAAGATTTACCGAAAAAAGAAAATAGACAAGGGTGGGTGCAAGTCACGAGTTTAATTTAGCCAGCTTAAAATGCCGGACGAAAATAGTTTCCTTCTCGTCTAAATATGTACTTACTTCCAATATAAAATTTGGTGGTGATCGGGTAAGTATTTGGGGCCTCGCTCAAGTGAGAAAGAATGAAAATTAGTGGTTTTATTTGCAATCTATTAACAGAGGTCTTCAATTACAAGTAGACAATTGTAAGTGATCAACAAATTTCTCAGGGCATTTTATATGCGATGCTAATACAGAGGATTGCCGTTGATTACTTAATGCATAATGTTTTCGATCTGAACAGTCAGTTTTGGGTCAAAATTTAATTTCAGCTTTCTCTACCTAAATTTTCCCTTAATAAGCAATTTGCAAATCGCTATTTAGTTGTACCTCGAACAGGTACGAAAAACCATGTTCACTGCGCATGAAAAACATCCAAATTTAATTTTAATTAAATAAATTTACATGTTGAATCGTCGCAAAAAACTCGATTAGAACACACATATTATATTTTTCATTGCACATTATATTATAATCTTGCTATTTGATTTTTTTTAACCTAAAAAAATGTTTAAGGAAAAGAAATTGAAGGCGTGTTTTCCAACATATTATTTACTATCAAAATTTAAACTGGTTGCGTTTCAAGTCCCTTTTAAAGTAGTATCTATAAAAAACACAGGTTTACAAAAAAAAGTTTCTTCATATTGAACCAAACCTCTATATCCCTATGTTATACGACGCGGTGAATGCGAATCCGAGGTTTATTAACCTCCATCACGTCGGGTTCGAGGTTATTTGAAGGTCAAATAGCGAAAGATTCATTGAATAAACTTGAAAACTCATATATATGGGGCTTTCGACTCGCTGAACCCGTTTACCTTCATAATGTCAGGTTCGAGGTCATTTGAGGGTCAAATAGGAAAAAAAATTATTCAATAAAGATAAAAATTCGTACATAGGTTTTTGTTATCGCTGAATCTGAATATGGGGATCACTTGATTCTTCAAGGTCATCTAAAGGTGATGTCAAGGTCATCATAAGGTCAAACTGGGAAGACTTTTGTTGAATTTTCAGGTTTATTCAATGAATTTTTCCCTACTTGACCTTCAAATGACCTCGAATCTGGCGTAATGGAGGCTAACAGACTTCGGATTCGCATTCAGCGTGCCGAATAACATAGGAATACACTACGCGACAGTCAAAATCGGGATAGAATGAAACCAACGGGAAATGTTATATCGGTCAAAAACAAGTTATACGTGGCCCGACGTTTCGCTGGGTCACGTCTAGGAATCGAGATATATCGATTTGAAGTTAGTAACTATCATATAGGGGAAATTGTCACCTTTGGTGGTCTTTTTTT